TACACCCTTCTTTCCCCTCTGTTTTCCAGATCCTTTTCTGTCTTATAAACTTAATCAGCAACTTAATTGTAACACAGGATTTAGGGTTACTTCTTGCCCTAATAGATACTAAGCAATGTTCTTTACTACTGAGAGTTGAAAAAGCATAACTGATACATGCTTAGAGTTAAAAGCATGGAAATGATGAAGACAGGAAAAAAAAATGGTAGACATACTCTAAAAACTAGCAAAGTGCTAACTTAAGAGGACCTTCTTGTCCCTCACAACCGTGTCTGCCTGTTTTGAGAGAGTATTTTCTGACTGCTGAAGTCACAATTGCAACGGATATCATTATTTCATAGAAGAGGCACTGAAGAGGCTTAATCATACAAACACCAAAAGTTCTCATTGTGTTTAAAACTGCATCACTAGTAAGATTTCTATAAATGGATTCTCCCTATGTCCATCCAGATTCACTTTAAACATATTCATACATACAAATTAGGTTCTCTTTATCCTTACCCGTTTTGTTGTCAAAAAATTTGATGTGTCTATCTTCATGTGCTGTAATTGTTACAGGAAGTGTGGGATGACTTACTACCTTGTTAATATGATTATTTGATTGTACACCTAAAAATAAAAAATAAATTTAAAAAATATTCATCTGCCTTTAAAGAAAGGGTTAAGGTTAAAATGAAAATATTTTAGCATTACACTTTAGCTTACTGTATTAACTAATATTACATAAATAACATTTTAGGAAAAGCATCAGTGAATTCCCCAAGAAATAAATAATAACTTCTTGCTTTACAGGATTGGGCTAAGCCAGGTAGACTCTAGCCAATGTACTGTAAGGTCAAAGCTGTACAAGTGGTTTATACACATGAAAGATTCTTGAGAGAGATAGCAAACAAACCAAGCAAGTACTGCAGGGCAGCACTAGCCAAGTAGAAACAAACTGCCATCTTGTATTGGGCTTGCATGGCAAGGTTTTGGTAGTGGGGGTGCTACAGGGGTGGTTTCTTTGAGAAGCTGCTAGAGCTTCCCCTATGTGTTACAGAACCAACGCCAGCCAGCTGCAAGACGGACCCACTGCTGGCTAAGAATAAGCCCATCAGCAATGGTGGTAGTGCCTTCTGCCACAGTGTATTGAAGAAAGGGAAACAAATTACTGCACAAGAGCAATTGCAGCTGGAGTGAGAATACGTGAGAGAAACAACTCCGCAGACACCAAGGTCAGTGAAGAAGGAGGGGGGGGAGGTGCTCCAGGCACCAGAGCAGAGATTCCCCTGAAGTCTATGGTGAAGACCACGGTGAGGCAGGCTGTCCCCCTGCAGCCCATGGAGGTTAATGGTGGAGCAGATATCCACCTGCAGCCCGTGGAGGACCCCACAACAGAGCAGGTGGATGCCCAAAGGAGGCTGTGACCCCATGGGAAGCCCATGCTGGAGCAGGCTCCTAGCAGGACCTGTGGACCCATGGAGAGAGAAAGCAGGTTTTCTGGCAGGACTTGTGACCCTGCAGGGGACCCACGCTGGAGCAGTCTGTTCCTGAAAGACTGCACCCCATGGAATGGACCCACACTGGAGCAGTTCATGAAAAACCGTAGCCCGTGGGAAGGACTCACGTTGGAGAAGTTTGTGGGACTATCTCCTGTGGGACGGACCTCCCATTGAAGCATGGGAAGTATGAGGAGTCCTCCCCCTGAGGAGGAAGGAGCAGCGGAGACAACGTGTGATGAATTGACTACAACCCCCATTCCCTGTCCCCCTGGTGCCACTGTCGGGGGAGGAGGTAGAGAAATCAGGAGTAAAGTTAAGCCCAGAAAGAAGGCGGGGGGACACACACATGACGACACACGGATGGGACGATGACACGGACACTGAGGAAGGTGTTTTTAAGATTTGGTTTTATTTCTCATAACCCTTCCCTGATTTGATTGGTAATAAATTAAATTAATTAATTTCCCCAGGTCAAGTCTGTTTTGCCCATGATGGTAACTGGCGAGTGATCTCTCTCTGTCCTTATCTCAATCCATGAGCCTTTCATCATATTTTCTCTCCTCTGTCCAGCTGACCATGTTTTAATAAGCAATTCAGACAACTGAAACTTGAGAAACCTTATCTTAGAGAACAAAAACCTGTTGCTTTCACTATCTCTTAACAACCTTCAAATCCTGCTAATCCACAATGCTTTTCACTGTGTCTGTTCCAAGCATCTTTAAGCATCTAATCAACTTTCAAATTGCATGATGTGGGAGAGGAGCAAAACTTTTTCATTTACTTCACCATATAATAAAACTTTGGATCCAAGATGGATATTTAATACAAGCTTTACATACCAGATTCTATTTGTGATGAAAGCATTACCACTGACTGGGATGTTTCTAAGTCATAGATGACTGTGCTGCCAGTGTTAAAAGATGCCACCATATGAGCAGGGTCACAACCTATAAAGTCAACTGATGTAGGTATTCCATGCTCTAGAAAGACAGAAAAGTATCTTTCAGAAAGAATTAAACATTTTTCAAATTCTTGACAATTTAGACATTTAGTCTGTTTTATATGTATACTTTAAAGAAGACATTCACTCTCTTCTTTAAAGAAATGCTACAGCACCAGGATTACTTTATTAAAAGATCTTTTCCCTTTAGTCCTGTTACCTAATTTTGATAAACAGAGATAATGAACCTGGATGCATCATCAGCTGCCTCATAACACATTTTCAAAACTGTTGCAAAAACTTACCTCTCTCTCCATTGTAAGTGCAAATACAGGGCATTTTTTCTGGCGGGTTCCATAATCTAATAGTGCCATCTGCTGAACAAGATAGTAAGTGATTCTTTACACCGCTGTAAGCAAGACCCCAGACTGCATCGGTGTGAGCAATTAATGTGCCAGCTAGAACGTTTGGCTCTGAAAAGAGAGAAGTTCAGAAATTAAATCTTTTTAGTGAAGAAGTATTCAATAAGTATTTCTTATACCTCAATATAAATGAAACTCCACATAAAACTGCTGTATATCCCCCCTAGCCCTTCCTGTTTAAAGAACAGCTAGGATATTACACCAGAGATCATTTCGCACAATTGCCACCTTTCTCAAAAAAAAAACTACCCAAAAAAACAAACAAACAAGGGAAAAAAAAAAAAAAAGACAGAAAACCAAACAAAACCCCCATCAAACCAAACACCACCACCACCACCCACCCCGCCCTGAACTATGTCCCTTTTTCCAGACTGATACACGCTTGTTATCGCCTCCTCTCCGAGGCATTTGTTTGTTCCCTCCAAACTCACCATCTTAAAGATGCTTGGTCACAACCCTTCCTCTGTACAAGGTGCAAAAAGAGCTAACAAGGTCAGCTTTCCACTTAAACACCGACACTTAATGCTGTTTTTACTCAGCATATTCTGCTGTCACAGGGGCATGCTCTAAAACTCTCAAGTGTAGTGGCCTTTCAGCACTTAAAGGGGGCCTGCAGGACAGATGGGGAGGGACTCTTGATCAGGGAGGGTAGTGGTAGGATATGGGGTAATGATTTCAAACTCAAAGAGAGTAGATTTAGATTAGATCTTAGGAAGAAATGTTGTACTGTGAGGGTGGTGAGACACTGGCACAGGTTGCCCAGAGAAGCTGTGGCTGCCCCCTCCCTGGCAGTGTTCAAGGCCAGGCTGGATGGGGCTTTGAGCAATCTGGTCTAGTGGAAGGTGTCTCTGCTCATGGCACAGTGGGTGGGACTCGATCTTTATGGTCCCTTCCAACCCAAACCATTCTATGGTTCTCTGATTATTTCTGTCATGAAACAGAGAAACAGCTTCTGCTCCTTGATACGTTCTAGTTGTCTTTTACAGAGGGATTTTTAATCTATTCTCCATCAGACTTTGAGTAGAGACATGAGAGACAAAGATAGATGGAAAGAAATAAAGCCAAATAAATCACTAAAATTTAGTCTTGCAGAAAATTAAAAACGAGTTGGTCTTGCAACCCCAAACCCTGCTAACAAGCTTTAGGGAGTAAAAACATCCTATTAGAGCACTCTTTTAAAAATAACTTTGTCACTTGAGTGGAGACAGTACTGTCTGAGGCTCATGAAGATTATACCAACAATCCTACCTGCATGAACAAATCAGACCATTTTTAGTGATTAGACTAAATTGAATAAATTTTTAGCAAAGCAGAATTTGAGCTATATAGTGCTTTTAAGGCACAGGGTGTAGCAGTCTTCCTAAATCAGTGCAAGACAGCACTGCTTCCCATCTCTCCCCATTTCACTGCCACAGAGTATGCAGCCCGAGTGTTGTATTAGCTCACTCATTGCACTGACGCAAGGGAGAAAGGAAGAATTCTTGACTCTGTCCCATTCAAACTTCAGTGAACCATGGGACTGCACCCTTAGAATCACATTAAACAAAATGCTGATCATCAATGACAGGAGAGTGATGCACAGTTTTCCAAGCAGTTATCAGCTCTTTAGTTTTAGAGACATTGGTTATGGGAACTAAGATGCAAATCAGAAGCACAGGACACAGAATTTGAGTACGCTTATCTTAGTCTTCTGAGAAATTCCTATCAGAAGTAGTAAATAACCATTCAAAAATTTGGAATTTTGGTTCAAAGTAGTAAGCATTTTTCTTTAAAAAAAAAGTTATGATTCATTTTTTCTTCACTGTTTAAACCTCAGAAATTGCCAGTCTTCCTATTACACTTTTATACAAAGTATGTCACCAGTGCAAGCAGGAATAACTAATTAATGTTTACCACACACAAAAAATTGAAAACACAGTTTAGCTGACAAATGGCAGTTACATTTCACAAAAGCTCTATAAAACAGATTAGCATCAAGCAGAAAATTAATGTTGAAGACAATGGTCATAAGTTGATTATCTTTTTAAAAGTACTTACCATAGGTGTCATATGGATCCACATTAGGGCTAGGCATGTTCCACCACTGGATGGTTGCATCAATACCACCACTGAAACACTGTTCTCCATTGGAACTAATTGCCAACGACAATACAGGTCCACTATTGGGAGACATAGAAAAAGAAGTTTATTGATACTGCCTACAGGATAGGAGTGAAAATTTGGCTATCTACTTTCAAACAAAATTTGATTGGATTAAGTAGTTAAAAAAGGTTTTAACAGAATTGTTTCTTTGGAGTTTGAATACTTTTTTTTTTTAAGTCTCAACAAGCAATAGCAACCTCTGTTAAAATATTCACAACAAATTAACTAAAACTATCCAAATTCAAGCAATTCAAAGAACACCACCTTATTTCTCAGAAGCAACAGTAACTACACCTACAAACAGAGTTTTTACAGTGCATCTATGCCAATGCAATAGCTAGCTGTACTGAAAGAGGTGGTTGTAGTCCCCCCAACTATTTTCTCATCCTCTTTTAGGAACTGACAGTAACCTATGCCCCAGCAAACTGGTTCAGAAAAATGATCCTAGAAAGAGTACTTTTTGGCCAAGGTTAGACTGTTACTGGTTTAACTTCAACCTATTTGCTGTGATATCAAACAAGCACAAGCTTGTAGCCCAAAGGAAGAAGGAGGTCTACTCCTTTGGACACACTACTAAGTCAGATTTAACTGTACTGTAAAACCATATCCCCCAAATTAGATGCCTGGCTCATTTGATGGGCCATGCTCAGGATATAAGGAGTTTACCAGTTGTTTAAGTGCAGATGAGCAAACTAGAATTAAATATTTGAAGAATGTGAAAAGGAAGCCTATTGGTTGAATCCACCTACATATTTGGCAAAGTGAAGAACGAAGCTAGGCTGAAAGAGAACGTTGCTCAAAGCCTCAAAGCCTGCCTGATGGGAAAAATAGTAAAATTACTTTGTTACCAATCTCATGGGAAGTCACAGGGTGGGGATCAGTTCTGTATCAAAACTTCCTCAAACCTTACCTTTTGGTATTCAGTAACAAAAGCTCAAATAATAGCCCAAGTTTAGACAGAGATCTAAAGGAGAATTCAACTGGTCAATGACCCTCTACCACTCAGAACACCACTTGTATTTAAACATGAGGACAAATTAGTCACCCAGTCCTAGGGAAGGAAGTTTTACGCTTTAGCTAAGAAGTGCAAAATAAGACATTATGTTCTATCAAAGAACTGGCTTAAGGGAAGGAGGAGGGCGATGACAGTATGTGTACATCTCCTAATACAAACTACTAATTTCTTTTTTTTTTGGGTCGAGGCCAGCACAGGAAGTGTTATCCACATCCATGCTTATCAAAGAGCTCCTGTGAAGCTTGTCTGCTAACTGGGTTGGAGACTGGATCTTTAGTTACATAAGGAAACTACACTCAAGCTACTGTGACTGGCTATGGACTGCACATTTTGTCTTGCCTTCTTATTGGAAGGAAGCAGAATTCAAAATTAGCAACTGGAACTCAGGCAGTAATAAAGCAGTTAATGCAAGTTGAAAAAATCACTGGGAGTTTCACAAGTCCCAGCTCAACTTGCAAGTTTTACTAAGGTTGTTTAATTCAGGTTAGCTTGCTGTCACCATCTGCCACAACAAAGATCCTTCCTTGTTTCAGACTAATTTGTGGAATCTGCTTACCCAATGGCTTGGGCTAGACCACAATCAGAAATGAGAATATTTGTTATGGTGTGTAATGAAGCACAATCTGCACTCAATGCAGGCAAACTTGAGATGGGAAAGGAGGAAGCCTGGGTTGGCATCACAAGAGAACTGACTGTAGCTATCAGAATCTTCCTCAGGTATTAATTGACTTTTTCATTACAACAATTATCTCACTGATTTCCAAGCTCCCCCAGCCCTGACAGGCATATGTATGAACGCTTATGTCCTATCTACTACTTTGGCCTACCCTGGCAATGAAATTTTACCTCTTACTCTTGTTCAAGCCCCTAAAAAAATTCAGAACCCTCCTAGTCACTTGCTTAATCTCCTGAATTTTCACTCATTGCATCCACATTCAGTGGTTCAGGGGTTTTTTTGGTCCTGATGATCAAATCTGTACTTTCAGTTTCTCAGACCTGTACCTGAGTATACTAGGTAAGACTAATAAATTCTACCTTATCTTCTTCACATATTACATATACAATCCACAGTCCAAAACATAGGCACCGCTCAGGTGATTTCACTCTCCTTTCCACTGCAACTAACCACATTTGCCAGTTGCTGTTGTTCTTGTGTTATGATGGACCATGCAATTCATGACAGTGACTCAGCATTTACCTGTTTTTACAAAGTAATACAGACCTTGTCTATACGATGTAGAAATAGAATACATTTGTGGCTTTTAGACTGAAGTGTCTTATGAATCCATGAGATAATGACAACACATTTATCAAGCATTATGTCAAACACTTACATATGGGCCCTAAATGTGTAGATGGGTTCTACATCTAAAGAGGCACTCCTGAAAGAGAAAGGAAGAGTTATTACACTACATGAAATCTCTGCTGAACAACTCTGAAAACATGTAAGAGTTTAATCAATTTCAAAGGCATTTCAAACACATCTAATGCTTTATAAAAACCCATATACTTGCTTTTTGGCAGGAACCGTTTTCTGCAAATTCCAAAGTTTTAGAGTGTGGTCCTCAGAGGCTGTAACCAGCACAGGCTCTACAGGATGAAAAGCTAATGCCCGCACTCCATCAAAATGACTGCGTAGCGTATACTTAGGGTTCCACGTCTTTCGGAAGGCATCTTTATTGGCTGGCAGCTTAAAAAAAATGAAAAAGAGTGATTTTATCTTCAGTTTAAAAATATGTATAACATATATATCCCCCTGTATTTTAGGAAAACATATTATTTTTGATTCAGCTAATACATATTCAATCTTAAGTTTGCATGTCTCTATTAATCTGTCTATATGCATCTATAAATCCCTCTCCAGCATGCAAGGTAGTTTGCAAATTTTTCTACTATAATAGTTCATTTTTTTCCCAGAGTGGAATGGAATGCAATGCTGAATACACAGACAAGAAGCCTTGAGTTTCAAAAACTAGTTTTAATCCTTTTGTGTAATGATACTTTAATTCTACTTCCCTGAAGAAAGATAAAAATTTCATTGCTTGTCATGTTGGCCACACCCAAAGAAGAGATTTACAACTGTCAAAAGCTTAAACACATTAAAAGAGAGCTTCAGGTAACTAGTGAGTGATCTTCCTCAGATGAGTAACTTGACTGAGAAAGAAGGAAACATATAATTCTTGAATACTTCACGTGAAGGTATGTACACAGAAATAGATAATCCAGATTTCAGTACACATTTGTCATGACTTTAAACATAACACTACATATAAATATTTTTAAAGTCTTCAATGAGTTTTAAATATATTCATGAGACAGTAACTTAAGTTACTATGCAAAGCAATATACACAATCATTACATTTATATGTTGTGAACATCTAATTCATCCCCTGGACCTATAGACTGTCAGGCTAAAATACAAAAATTACAGCTGCTTAATATTAATTATAGGTAACTCAGGAGAGCTACCAGAAAACCTCAAACTCTTCTAGTGAACTAGAAGAGACTAATTTAGAGCTTTTAATACAATTTATATTATGCAGAGCACAGAACCTTAAAAGACTACATCCCACTTGACAAAGTTACATCCCATCTATGATGGGGTTACAGTATTGGTGGACAAGGGAAGAGCAACTAAAATCATCTACCTGGACTTGTGCACAGCATTTGACACTGTCCCACACGACATCCGTGTCTCTAAACTGGAGAGACATGGATTTGACAGATGGACCACTCCATGGGTAAGGAATCAGCTGGACAGCCGCACTCAAAGAGTCATGGTCAATGGCTCGATGTCCAAGTGGAGGCCAGTGACAAGTGGCTTTCCTCAGCGGTCTGTATTGGGACCAGTGCTGTTTAACATCTTTGTCGTCAATACCGACAGTTGGATTGACCGCACTCTCAGCAAGTTTGCTGACAACACCAAGCTGTGTCGTGCAGTTGACATGCCACGGTGCCACCCAGAGGGACCTTGAAAGACTGGAGAGATGGGCCTGGGCAAACCTCATGAAGTTCAACAAGGCCAAGTGCAAGGTCCTGCACCTGGGTTGGGGCAATCCCAAGCACAGATACAGGCTGGGAGATGAGATCAAGGGCAGCCCTGTGGAGAAGGACTTAGGGGTGCAGGCAGATGAAAAACTGAGTATGACCCAGCAATGGGCACTCGCAGCCCAGAAAGCCAATCATATCCTGGGCTGCACCAAGAGAAGCGTGGCCAGCAGGTCAAGGGAGGTGATCCTCCCCCTCTACTCTTGTGAGACCCCACCTGGAGTACCGTGTGCAGCTTTGGGGCCTCCAGCACAAGACAGATGTGGACCTGTTGGAACAGGTCCAGAGGAGGGCCGTGAAGGTGATCAGGGGGCTGGAGCACCTCTCAAATGAGGACAGGCTGAGAGAGTTGGGGTTGTTCAGCCTGGAGAAGAGAAGGCTCCAGGGGGATCTTCTAGCGGCCTTCCAGTACTTAGAGGGCCTGCAGGACAGATGGGGAGGGACTCTTGATCAGGGAGGGTAGTGATAGGATATGGGGTAACAGTTTCAAACTGCAAGAGGGAGGATTTAGATTAGATATTAGGAAGAAGTTCTTCACTGTGAAGGTGGTGAGATTGCCCAGAGAAGCTGTGGCTGCCCCCTCCCTGGCAGTGTTCAAGGCCAGGCTGGATGGGGCTTCGAGCAACCTGGTCTAGTGGAAGGTGTCCCTGCCCATGGCAGGGGGGTGGGACCTAGGAGATCTTTAAGGTCCCTTCCAACCCAAATCATGCTATGACTCTATGATTTGTCCTAAGCCTCCATCATAAGGAGCAATATACGTGCAGGTACTTCTCTCTTCCCCTCAAGCAATTAGAAAGGAAGTTTAGAAAACTTACTTTAGTTAGATGACCAAGATCAGCAAACTAAAAATGAATGGAAACTAATCCTTATCCTATGAGTTACATACTATCTAGTCACTATGTAATTCCTAAAGCATGTTTCTCAAATGTAGGACAGAAGCTCTCAGTATCCCAGGATACTTTCAGCAACACTAAGAGACTAAAATCTCCCACAGCTAAAAAAAAATCTTAGTATCTTATATCTGTCAGGACTGAAAATAAAAATCAGATCATAATGTAACATATACTGTAATAAGGATTCTTGGACCAAATCTATATCCCAGACAATCACCACTACTCACTCGAACTAAATTTACTTCTATCCAATCAAAATAAATAGAAAGGCTCAAACAATAAAGAGTTCAGAGTTAAAGATGTGCAGACATTTGCTTTTCCCTTACATTCATGTAAATTTCTGGCCTAAGTGCAAACTATGCCAAGTTCAGATCAAGCAACAGAAACTTGTTATACCAGACACATAACCTGGCTTACTTTTTTTTAATACATGCAACAAAGCATGTTTTTCCCAATTTTCCTACTTCAGAGTATACTGAATACCACAATATTTTTACTGATATTTAAGTTATTTAGCACTAGACTGCATGTTATATACAAGCTTCATAAGAAGAATAATCTTTTGTTTCAGGGAACAGAGTGGAATTCTGGAGTTCTGCACTAAACTTGATAGATTTCAGCCCAAACTGCACATTTATTCACCTCCCTGAATCTAAAGTGGATAAAAGAAATGGAGAGGGGAAAAAAAAAAAAAAAAAAAAAGGAAAAAAAGGTATTTTTCTAGCAGAGTTCCTTGATATTTTTAATCCTCATTATGTGATGTATTCATCCACCTGGCTAACTCAGGTTTCCTCATGCACTTGGGGTGATCTGGGACTTAAAGAAAAATCAAGCCGAACATTCAAAATAGCAATGGACAATTTTAGCGCATGTTGTTATGTCCTAGATTAGACAGAAGACTTTGATTCTTTGGGTGCAATGTGCATCCACACCACACTGATTTCTATTACAGTTGTGATGAAGAGTGATTAATGAAAATCAGGACTGAATACAGTCATCCTTGTTTTTCAAAAAAAGGAAGAGAGTACATTAAATCTTTTTTGTAAAAATGGCTGTTGCAACGGAAATTTCATTCTCAGCAGTTCAGAGGAATCTGCTAAAATGCAAAGTACAGAATTTACAGAAGTTATGGAAAACAAGGTACAATCCCTATCTCAAGTGTAGCTTTAAAGCCTTAATTTTCCTAAACCAGACTTGAACCTTGGTTCTTTTAGAAGACTCCATGTACACCTTCCTAGAAATCTAGTTATATATAAGCTCATATTTTCTTCTCTAATTCTCCCCACCCCCATCTATGTTCCAAATCAATCTTGACAACCTTACTGCAAGAGTAAAAGAACTGACACATCTTTAAAAAGAGATCCTTGCAACCTCTAAGGCGCTAACCAGTAGTATATTTAAAAACAAAAACAAAAAAACAAACCCTCCTCAGAAAAACACAGTCAAGGACTTGGAAAAGGGATTTGCTGATTACAAAGGATAAATGTGAGATACAAAATGGGCCAGAAGTATAATGGAAAAGTAGTAAAATGTGACACCGTATATCAACGTTCTCAAAGGCCTCTCAAAACAGAAGGTGTGGACACACTGCCCCATGTTCTACTGTAAATGCCAAAAGATAAAGTCATGAGAAGATAGACTATGGAACCATACAGCTTCACTAGCTCCTTCTCCCTTTTTCCCCTGAACTTTGGGGGACTTTACTGAACAGGACCAAGAGGGATCAGCTGAAGCCTTGATCCTAGTCCTCTGTCAGCAAAGAGCCACAGAGTAGATGTTTCGACTAGTAGAGTCTTCCAAAAACAAGAGTTGTTGTTCCCTCACCCGAACCACCCACCAACACCCAAACAAAAATTCTGCCTAGGTCAGGAGACACAAAATACTTTACATGTCCTAAAAAACCTTTACCACAAAATCTCCTTAAACTTAGAGCAAAATAAAACACATACAAACCATATACCACAAGAAGTTGCTAAACAGGTTAGAGGAGCAATCAGAATTGGAAATGTCTGCTTCATAACACTTGCTCAATCTAACCTAATAAAAATACTCTTTTGCCTTTGTTTTGTTTACAGACAAGCAACCTATTTGTTCTACCTTCCAAACCACCAGCAAACCAGACTGAAGGAAACTACACCTGAGCTAGAGGGAGAAGAGGGAGAAAGAAGAGAGGGAAAAGAGAAAAGACACCTTGCTGCCGCAGTCAACAGAATCCTTACAGCATAGTAAGGAGATGTGTATTTCCCTATCTCAATCACTACTCACCTACAGCACACAGAGGAATTAGAAAACAATAACTGGTAACTGTAGTCAAAGTCTTTTAATGTTTTAATGTTATTTTTTTCCTTGATAATGTTGTGACTGGAAATTTCAAAATTTAGATGCTCTGATAAAATGAGGACTTTGCATTTCACAGCCAGCCCTACACCAGAAAAACACCACCATCCTGTGCAGCTATGGAATCAAGCATTTGTTTTTGTAACAACATTACTCTCTCAGCATACAAACAACTACATGCACTAAGGTAAATATATAGAGCTAGATATAGAAAGAGACATGACTTGAGGTAACTGAACTGTATTACAGATGACTGGTCTTGTGGTAAACTTGTGCACTAAATCATTCACATACAGAAAACTTTCATCTGCAATTGAAAATCTTAAGATTTAAAACTTTAATCCCCATCCTGTCCACATATCCTCTCCTTTTCAAAACGCAACACTCATTGAGGAGTGACACATGAAAGCTAGTGGAACCCTGCTGTCGCTTTATTTATTCATGCACTAGAATGGCTCACACGAGCTACTTGAAGAGCCTGGACCTATTGGGAACAAAATGCAAGAAGTGGGAATATTAAGTGTTTTGGGGGGTTTTTTGTTGCTTTACTTAAACATTAACTTAGCTTAACATTATCTGCTTATCTGGAGATTTACTGGAAAAGGAGGTGGCTTCAGCTAAGATCATAGAGGCATGACATTAAGATGTCCTAGAAATACAGTATTACACGTACAATGTAAGACATGGTCTTATTGCATTGCAGATCCATAGTTATATGGAAACAACTTCAGAAATTATTAACTATCCAAGAATTTTTAACCAAAAGGAACACTGTGATAGAGAACTAATAGCATCTGAATTTCAGATAATTAGTATTTTCATTTGTTATTCAAGAAACAGAAATATGTAACATTAACATCCTGCAATAACAGAGAAATGTAAGTATTAGCACTTACTTCATTATAGCAATTAATAATTCTACCAGTTATAAATACTGAAGGACAACTATGATGAAAAAAAGTTGTGTAGTCACACACAAGTATTTTCAGACCCTGTAAAAAGCTATAAACAATTTATTTCTTCACTTTACAGATTCTAAGACTTTAAGAAAATCCATAGTAAAGGTTTTGGGTACAAACACCACGTATCTAACTTGAAAAGTTACAGAAACAAACAGAAAGGTATCTTACCATAACAATAATTAAAAAAACAAAAGAAAACAACCCCAAACAAACAAACAAAAATCCAACCACAACCCAAAACCATAAGACACTTCAATACAATGCGTAAGACTTACCTGAACACTTCCCTAACCAGCCATTACTAGCCAGTGAAAAATTCATATAACACTTTTGGTAGTAGCTTAATGAACGTCGTCAAAGGAATGTCAGAAGACTCTGGGTTATAATAAAAACACACCCTAAAAGCTTACATCTGAAATACACTACCATATATAGTCTACGCCATTAACACATAAAGGGGAGAGCAAAGGAATAAGTTAATATCGATATTTCTGTTTCATGCCATGTCTTCTCAATACTCCCTATCAGTGTATAATTGTAATTTTTGTTCAACTAAATTCATGTTAAGACATCAGTCTGTATTTTACATTATAACACATTCCCCCAGTGACAAAATCTGAATTAAATTATTTAAGTAGAAAACAAACAAGTCATCTCATTTAGTTTTGATTACCCAAATTACTTAGCCCATTCACGAGGTGCTCCCTCCTCCTCCTCCCAAGTAATAGCTTTTGCTAATGAAACCTGTGTTCTCTGCATCTGTAATGTTCAGGGTTGGGGAGAGGGGACCCAACTATTATTGATTAAATTAAACTCTATAAAGAATTTTGAAATAAAATTGCACTTACATCATAACTATAGTCTGCATCATTTGTTACTGTCAAGTCTGCAAGGTCTCCAAGGCCCAGTACACTTAACAACACATCATCAGAACCCATAATAAATGACTTGCCTCCTCCAGGTGGAAATGTTATTGGCTCAGCTACAAAGAATAAAACAGTTTCTTTAAGTCTCAATGTAATAATTCAAACTGATGAAAAACTGCATTATTTATCACTTGAAAGCAAAGCAGAGTTTAAAACTGAACTTTTATGTTCTACATACTGTCCCAATGAAAAAAGAAAAGAGAGCATGAAGACACACACACATGTGCAAACACACACACATAATAAATACATGATTCTTACATGATGCTTTGTCATTTGATTACAACTTACTTTACAGAGGTGTTCAATAATACTGACAAGTGACTCAACTGACATTACTTTACATTGCAACATCAAATCTATGTCCCAGGTCTCCAAATTCTCAGACAGATATTTCATTCACTACCTCATGCTATCTGCCTTCTTTCTGCCCATTTGCAAATAAGTCTCTGTGCTTTATACTAGTCAAAAATCTTTACTTGCATGTGGAAGTATTCCTTACCACTCAGGCCAGAGGCCTCCTGCAAAACATCTCTTCTACTTCGATTTTTTTCAGATTATTAAAAAAATGAAAACATCTGTTATTCATTAATTCCCCCTCTTTCTCAGCATGATTTTGGATTCTAATTTAAAAATACACTCAACTGATATTTATCTTAGCTAGCTGTGCCTTCCTGAAATTAAAATTTAACATTTCTGTTAATTATAATTTAGAATTAATAGAAGTTATATAAAATCATTCATTCTTAATTCACATCTGAATAATAAAGTTTCAAATATTCACTCATATTCTTTACACTCTTCAACAATTCTGTGTATCTCTTTCTACCCACAAATACCAATTTAGTAGTGAGGAATGGGAATAAAGGCTTAAACTTTGTAATACTTTAGTATACTTTAGAAGCTGTTTTTACTTATCAGTATTGCTTTCTGTGCAAAAATTGGGACACTTGCTAGGCAGAGTACTTGAACTTGAGCTATATGTGAAACTTGGCTAAGCGCAAACATCTGCAAAATATCTCTGAAATCTTTAAAAATTAAACTTGCTTGGCTTTTGGATTTCACTGATTTGGCGAGAGTTATGGTCTCACTTTAATGCCACCCCTTGTTTCTAATCCTCTCAGCAAAACCTTGAAACTCAGAGAAAATAAAGTTTCCAGATCTGAAAGACATTCCTATTCTAGTTTTTATCTAACAAAAATAGTTCCAAAGAGGAGGATTAATAATCAACACATTCCTCTTTTGAGCATGCATCTCTACTGTTTGTACTGCCACTATCTGAATGGTAACCTAGTTATGTTCCACTCCAACTGAAGAAAAGTAACTAAGACCAGGTGTCAACTTGGTGCAATGGCATCATTGCTATGGCTATGCAAAGATAAGCCCAGCCCAGCCAGATCAAAAAAATCACTTCTCAAGAATAAAACAAGTTCTAATGCTAACCTTATTACCACACAGGCAACACAACTGTATGTGAGCATTTCAGAATATCATCTATGTAAGAATAAAGACTGCTGTTCCTACAGTTGCACAAAAAGAGCAAATAATATTCTAACTACACCCAATCACCTCCCTTTCAAGGTGAATGAATTTGCAGTTCATACAAAGGTCTTGACTCATCAAAATGCTACAGTAAATTAACAGCCCAAAACAGCTTACCATGCCCTTATACAAAGCAGCTTTTAGCTTCTGTTAATGTTTTACTAAAACTCTCAATTTGACAGTCTATTCCAAACCACTCACATTTCAAGAAGCCATATTTCTAGAAAACATCTAATTATTTCCCACATTCCCACCTATCTTCTTTATTATAGGTTTTGGGCTTTTTTGGGGGGGGGCGAAGCAGTCATCCATGCTTATCAGATGAGATCAGAATTTCTAAGGACTGATTTCTTAGTCAAAGTGTCTGAGCTGAGTATAAAAGGAGATACAAACAATACTTTATATGAAGCAAGAAATAAAATAACATCACAAACACTCTCTGGGCGAACCTAAATTGTGAAATCCTCAAATAAATAGCAATTAGGCCCTCAATTACTTCAGAGATCAATTTTTTCCTCATTCTTTTCTGACAGAAAAAGTGGAAGAAAAAAATTATAAAGGCGAAGAAGGAAACAGAGAGGTTTTTAGTGTTTTGTTGTGGTTGTTATCATTGTTTGCCTGGCTTTGTGTTTTGGTGTTTGGGTTGGGTTTTCTACCCTTTTCTTGTTGACTCCCACAGATAGGCTACAGTACTTTTATTTGGAATTTCCAAAACTGGCTCACCTCTACTGTCTTGACAAGGTCACAGCCTCCCAAACACAAGTATCCATTTACAAGCCAAACCTCCCAAGTCCTTATAGAATAAAGCGGCTGATCACTGGGGGAAGGAGGCAATACGCTCATTTTAAAACCTGAGGACACTTTCCATCCCTGTTGTGATGCTGTGACTCCTATTTGATCTTAGGACAGGCCCACAAGGTTTAAATAAGCCCCTGAACTTGTCATACTAATTCTTTGCGCAATTAATGTCATCTTTCCTTAACAGATCAACTTTCATATGCTTTATATTAAAAATTTAAAACTACCACAGAAAAACAGTACCACATTAAGAATCTATATTATAAATTTATCAAGCTTTACTTGCAGAGCTGAATATCCCTGCTATCAGAAATTCAGAAGCATATTTTTCAATACTAAAGTTGCCAATATGTATGTTGTATATTTTATTTGCACATTTTAAAATAAGACATATTCAAAGTTTAAAAAATGACTGTAAGCTGTTTTTGTAAAAAGAAAAGGCAGAAACGTTACACGATGAAACATGCATGTTACAGCTACTCAAATTAAAGACCCACAATTCTGCATATCAAAAACAATGCATCAATAGCTACATCCAAATGATAGTTAAATAAATTACTTATTGAATGCTTTTCATCTTAAAAAATCCAGGTATTTTTCTAGCACATACAATACAATATCATCCTCATAGCATAAAATATATGTTTAACTGAACTTGCAATCAATAAATATCAAGTAATAATGTAAGTGATAGTACGAGTTCTGTTGTAGGAGAAACTAGGTGAAAAAAATGCAATGATCAAATATTTGCTTGGCCAATCCTAACGAGTACTTCTTACCCTCAAGTTCTTGTACAGATTTTTGTACAGTATTTTTTGTACGGACTGAAACTGCTTTCATCTCTAATCAGATACGTATATTCATATATGCTATTGTCATTTACGATATGATAGGGACATCTTAATCTTGTTTTCCATAAAGTTAATATGTGGTACACCAAAAGCAGCAGTTAATGCCCAAGCAATTAGCTGTTACTACTATTTTTTGTCAATCTAAAAAAGAGAAACAAACTGTGAAAATAATAATTTTCTGTATAATACGTTGGATGGAGAATCATGCTGCAGTTGATTCTCTTTCTGAAAGTCATGCAGCGTGGTGAAATGGAAACCTCAATTTCTTACGGCCAAAACTATGAAGTATAATTACAGCATAATAATTTTCTCATCATATTTAACCAGGCACTTGAGTGTGAAAAAAACCAACAAAACAAACCCAAACCCATACCTTTAGAGGCATGAAATATATATTCCCAGCCAATCAGAAGCATAGTTTACTTTCCTCCCTGAACTCCCTTCCTCCCCCCTTAAGAAAAAAGTGAACTTAATATCGCTTTGCTCTCTATACAAAAACAGAATTATCTGTAACACTTCAGAGTGTAGCATAAACCTTATGTACAGTCACAAGAACATTATGGCTTGGTGACATTCATCAGCATGGGCTAGCGCATCCCAGCAAGAAAGCCTAAAGTTGTCTGCAAAAAACTGAAACACAGTTGAATAAATAAGTGATCAAAACCTGCATTTTATAGCAATGAAGTTTGGCTTTGTTAACAAACGACAGACGTAGAAGGAATTCAAAGACAACACTAAGCTTGCTTGCTTGCAGCTTTGCACCATATGGTACAGACAAAAACTCAAAAGAGCTGTGTAGTATTCAGGACAGAATTTCTGATCAAACAGCAAAATTTACACTCTAATATTCAAGTTTAAAACTTACGCAGAAACCACAATTAGCAGATATGATAGCAGAAATATTTATACTATTACTTTTAATGAATAAAGCCCAAACTACACTGCTAAGCTGAAAACACATGAACACATCAAATACCAAGAAAATATAATCCTGAAGACACAGTTTATTTGAAAATAGTGCGGACAATCTTTACTTGAAGTATAGCACAGTGTTTTTGCTACAGGAATCAGGCAATAAAAGTCAGTCTCTATCAAATTCAAACTTAGCATCTATTTCTTCAGAAAAATTGTTTTGTCCAGAAAAGAGTCTAAAAGAGACAATGGCTATACGGCCTGTCCTTAACAACAAACATCTGTGTTCCTTTGCACAACATGTATGGCCTAAGACAAATAGCCTAAGGCAGTCTAAGGGAACTGTAACTGTAGGGTCAAATGCCTTTAATAGCTTACAAGGCTAAAAAGCAACCTAAAGCATGTAAATACTAAACCTAAACACAACCTAAATGTATTTCCACATGTTTTAGCAAGTGGAACTTCACCAGTAGGTTTTTTTAATTGCACTCCACAGGTAAATTTCATACTGCTTCATCTTTAAGTCATAAATAAAAACAAAGACAAAAAGGAAGGCAGTAAAAGAGAAGGTGTGAAGACAAACACTTCGTAAAGGAATAGTTTGGGAGAGCAACAAGACCGCCCTACAAAACACCTATTTTGTGCTTGCCTGGTGAAAGGCACTTGTGGGGGCAAGGGTGCAGGAAGAACAGGAGAACTAACAGATTATCAGGATCAGTAATAGCGCAAATTCTTTCCCCTTCTGGTACAGCTGATACCATGCCAGGGCTTATGGGTTGAACATCATCATAAAGGAGCCAAATCTGAATTCAGCTGAGTACTTTGAATTAATCTGTTCTGAGTAGAGAACAGAATTTACATAAATGGCATTCTAATCTCAAAGTTAATAAAAGGAAAATCATTCTTTAAAATAAAAAACTTAAAGCTGAGTACAAGATTTTGCAATATTTAGATAATTGTTTGCCACTAACTTCTCTTGCCTAAGATAATCCTGAAATTGAAAGTAACACTTTGAAAAGAAATAAATCGTGTCTTCGTACACTTGTGTAAATAGACCAAGAAAATTTTAAAGTTGAGGAAGAGACACAAGTTAGTCTCATAATTTAAATAAACACTTTTAAATTTCAGTTTAAAGTGCAAACTGTGTATCAAATAATAATACTCACCTTTTTCCCCCCTCAATCAATAGCACCCTATTTGTAAAAGGTTTTACTAAGCTGGGTGGGGTGGGGTGTCTGCAAACAGTGCTTTAATAGTGAATAGTTTCAGAATACACTGCTGTACATGAAGTTGTTTAAAAATACTTATGAAATAATGGTGAGTTACAATAAGCCACAGAAACTCAAGCCATAGTCTCATAAAACCATTTGGGAAGAAATGCAAATAAAATAATAATGTGGCAATCTGCAATTGCATTAAGGTTTATAGAGGGGACAGCAAATTACAGCGTGTGCTTTCTAAAAGAAATCTCCTGAAATATAGTAAGTAGCTGAATTTTTTGTACCTTCCTCTGCTCTTGCACCTTCATGATCAGTCATTCTAGAAGAGGGTGACCTAGATTGATTAATGATTCCTGAAGGGATGTGGGGTATCTCATCATCGCCCAGATCAGCTATCATGTCGTGAAGTTTTGTCCTGTTGACTCCTGTAAATTAACGTCAGCAGCAAAGATTCATTTGATTGCTACCGCTTGACTTGACTGAAGTCTAAAAATCCATTAAACTAATTAAACATAATTATTACTGACAGGACTTCCTTAAAATAAATACAATGCTTTGCTTTTGTCTTTGTATATTAATAAAATTCATCTTGTAATCAAAAGGAGGAGTTAATACATCAAATCCGAAAACTACATGCAAACAGTTCTAATTGACTAAATCAAAGAATAACTCCTTTGTGTTCTGTAGATCTGTTCTATAATTTCCTGTAGAAGAGAAAAAAAAAAAATCACCTTACAGCCCTACTGAGAAGTCAAGCCAAATATTAAAAGAACATTAACTATTAAATAAAATACATATGAATTAAACATTTGCTAACATTACACAGCTTTAACTATACTAAACAATTTAACACTGAAAAAACAGAGTGCAAATAAAAAATAAGCTTAAAAATGAGGGAAAAAGTACAGACAACTCATAATGGGGGTGCAACAAACAATTAACTTTCCCTGCGTTCGAATGATGTTTAAATTGTATAAAGTGCTTATTAAACACAAGAGCAAGAATGCTTCCACCACTGTATGAAACTGCATATGTATACTACCCTTACTATACAAGCATGCCTCTAGAAACAAAGCATACTGAATTACATGTGCATTAAATTCCTGATGTAGACATTAGCAAACAAGAATAGTATGTTTTCTTTTTTTTTTTTTTAATGAATTAATTCCTGCTTCCACCTTACAGCTTGCATGTCCAAAAGTCAAGCATCAATCAAGGCGAAATTTCAGTCAGTCTCTTTAAAGAAAACAATCCACGATGATGCAAGACACAACTAGCATTTACTTGGAAAAAAAAAAAAAAAAAAAAAAAAGAGTCCTTCCTGGGACTGCAGGCAGTTCTATTGTGGAACATTTAAAATAAAAAAAAAAAACCCACACCACTCAGCTGCCAAAAATCTATGCTTTTAAACTTGCTAAAATATAAGTGCTTACTATCTTTAAAAGGGCATATTAAAACAAATAATTTTCAAATACATCCATTCTTTAGTAAAGTAACCATTAGGAAACAATTTCTTATACTGTAAGGTGACATGTATCACTTATTAAAAAGGACGCAGCCTTTATTCTCAAAAAAGTAAAAGGTAAACACTATAATTACAGATGACTTATCAAAAGCAGAACTTTGTTTAAACAGTTAAACACTAAAACACACTTTTCCAAATATCTGATCATTTCAGTTTTTAGATCTTATTGGAAAAAATTATTAAAATTGATGTGTTCAAAAATAAGTATCTATCAAAAATTGAATTCTCTGGAGAGAGGGATGACAACAAAAAATATTTCTGGAAGTGGAATCATAGCAAGAGTATACCACGCATACCCCAAGAGGGATGCTATAAAACTATCCTCATTAACACTTCTGAAACATTTTCATTTTGCCAAGTATAGAACTCCCTATACTTTTTTTGTGCTTGTGATATTTTTTTTCTTTCTTTTACAGAACCCTTGGTATTCTAATTAAATCTACGAAGGCTGATACCCAGAAGTCGTTTGAGGATAAAAATGGCTTCCAAAAGTTTCCCTTATGCAACAGAACAGATTTCTTGAGTGGTTAAGTTTCATTTCACTCTCATGTAGAAGAGTGTCTAGAAACGTGTGATCTCAGCTAATGAAGTATGTGTAAAAATAATAAAAATGAGGAATGTCTCTTTCACACCAACATTTTTTCCTAATAGCCACTAGACTTACAGGATTTAATTTCAAAGGTACAATGCTTAATTGTAGTCAGCAGGTGCGATCTCATTTAAAAAAAAGAAATTCATTCTTAAAATGGCCAGGTCTCCACCATACAGAATCCAAAGCTTGCTTTTATCTTTATTCCAGTTGGCTGTCAGCCTGCCACCTATGGTGAGTAGCAGCAGGTACATTCTTGAAGATATTACAGAGTAATCAATAAATGACATGATAAAAGTCACGACTGGTACCCTAAACTGTCTACTTTAATATACCCTTTGCTTTCCAGAAGAAAACCCATTTGTCTTCTCCATGTGAATACGCATGAACTGTTCAACACATGGATGGAAAATGCCAAAAAATGGCTTATAAAGTCTTACTTACATCCAAACTGCAAGCATCTCTTGGAGGTGCTTTTCACACCAAACATATGGGCATGGGAAGATCATCTCAGAGCACATTCAGAAATAACTAGAAGCAGCCTCCCTGCTCTCCTGCCTTGAAGCAGACAGTCATTTAGTACACCACTGATTAGGGGAATGTCAGCCTTGCCTTTTAATGTTTTTCAGTATCTTTAGCCACTTCTTGTCCTTCAGCCATAACCTCAGAACAGCTCTCAATCCATCATACAATACAGAGAAACTTCTTTCTGAAGTTTAGAAAAGAGCAGCTTCTGTTCCAAACTTCTGTTATTTCATGCTGAAAAATGTACATATTCAAGATTGTGCCACCACCACAGAAGACTGTGCAGATTTCTGCTTTCAAACAAGTGCAAGTGTTCCTTCATAGAATTAAGTATTTTAAATGGTACAAAGAGGTTTTTTAAGGATAAGAACGTGCTGTCTCTGCATAGGCATCTATGTTCAAGGCACAAACTGGATTAGTGTGCTTTATCCTCAAGAAACGATTAGAACAACAAAAAAAAAAAAGAAATCAGTAAACATGAACCTGTGAACAAAAGCAAAACACCTACAATCCCATCTCAGTGTAACGTTCCTTCAAAGCTCAAAAGTGAAAAAGGTAACTGAATATTCAGTGCTGAAAAGTTGTAGCCTGAGAAGCCATAAGCAGATTTCTGTTAGCTCCAAGATGTAACAGCCCAAGTCTGAATATAACACAGGGATCCTTCTGTGTTAACAGGTGATGGTAACAAAGACGGTAAAATCCAAATCGATTTTCATGCCTGTCAACTATTACACTGTATTTCCAGAAATCAAGGGTAGCAAAGTGAATGGGACAGATACTGTTTCATAAATGCAGAACAACTGAACTGAGGAAAAAGAGCAGGGAAGTGAAAGATAAAAGTTTCAAGGAAACTAAGGAAAAAAATCGGTAAAAGGATCTTCATTTTACCAGCGATATCCACATACAATTTAAGATGTGAAATCTATTTTTCAAATTGCTAAGAACACATTACGCTGACCTGACAGTATGAAATAAGAGGTGCATCATCTTCAATACAATGTTCTGAAAACGCAACACTATATCTGAAAATCAGTCACCCCCTGATTTACCTGCCAAAACTGATCTTAAACTTGGGCAAGAAACTGGCCTTAAATTCAGCATGTTACTGTAAAAGCTAAGCATGGTTTTACAGAAATCAAACCTAACTCCTCATCTATTTACCACAACGAAGTCCAGAATAGGTTGTGGTTGGTTTGGGGTTGTTTTGAGGTTTTTTGTTTGGTTTGGGGTTTTTTTAATATAAAAATCTCTTCGATAAACAGGTTTTGGGTTATTTTACAGCTGATATTATAAAGGCAATTAAAGTATAGGGTGAGGTTTTGTTTGGTTGGGTTTTTTTGTTTGTTTGTTTTTACAATCGTTTGATAAGGAAGTATTTCCCCATAACATGGTGACTATCATGGCAGAAAAATAAAAACCAATACCAAAAAAACCCCAAAAAAGCATAAATATTACACTACGAAAATGTATGTGCTGACAGAAGATGATCTAAATTAAGGTGTTCTACCCAAAAGAAAACATATCAATGCAGACTGCATAAGTATCAAAATAGAATCAAATCTACTTCTGTTCACTTATTTATCTCTACATTTTGAGTTAAAGTTACTATTCCAGGGCTATGAAGACCCTGTTATGGGTCTAAACACAGAGTATGGTAGTTACCAGATGCATATCCAACAAAGGAACCTGTTAGAATGTCTGCCCTATTATGCTGTCCTCAAAGCATTGCAAAAGGTGATAGTCAATGCACATTTATTTGATCTTTATGACGATATATGTGTGGCCATGCAGATAAATTACAACATTGCTTGAAAAATTCTGATAAAAGTCCGACAATATACTGAAGAGCAAAGTAAGAGATGAATATTCAGAATGAAGTTCACAAACAATCAATCAGACATGAGAAGGAGGAATAGAGGCCTTCGACATTATTTTCAGTCTCAATGTTAAAAAAGCTGAGGAAAAAAGTCTACAAATTGAATGAACAGGTTTTAATAAACCTGCCCGACCTTAAAATGCATACTTTTACTGTGTGTGGAGTTCTCATTCAATTAGCCCAGCGATTCAAAGGCCAATTTTTAAACAGAAACTACTATCATGAATGTGAAGCAAGTGCAGAATCCCACAAACCACACCGCGAGGCTATCTATGAGCTCAGGGTCTCCCAGAGGAGAATTTAAACTTAAAACCCAAAATGCTAAACAGTGATTTAAGTGATCTCACAGCACTGTGACACACCACTGCCTCCTAAATATTCTCTTATGTGAACATAAGCAGGTTTCAAAATCACTTTAGATGAAGAAAATGCTGCTTTAAGTTTTGATAGTGGAACATACATTGTCAAAAGACAACGTACGTCAAGTAATAATTGATGGCCAACATGTCATGCCATTCATGGTACAAAAATGAATGTTACACCATTTGCAGCAACTGCAGGAAAGTGGGCAGGAAGGAACGTTTTTATAATAATGTTACAAAGTTTTAAATAAACTGCTGATTCACATGTTAAACAAGGATACTCATTACCATCCAGATTACTCCTGTAAGTTCTAATCAAACCAAAGACTAGGTACTTCATTGAAGATTTTATATTTGTATGTGTCTGTATACATGCAAGTCGTGCAAAATTGCTGAAAAAACAATCAACATGCACTAACTGAATTCTAATTTGTTAGATGTTACAAAGTAAATGCAAATCTTACTACAGAATTCTTCGTGAAGTGTTATATTTTAATTATCACCTAATTTAGTTAGTAAATATTCACACAATTTTTCAAATCAAGGAAAAAAACATTTGTTACTAAATATCACCAGAAACTGCTATAATATACTTTCAAAATAAAAACACTGCAATCAAGGGAGCTCCTCTGGAGTGTCATTGATTCAATAACACTTTGTCCACTAAGAGCTTTGTATAGTTGATGACATAAGTCACAAAAGCATTTTTACCAAGTACTTCAATATTGAAGTTTGGTTTAACTTAAATAGTTTGAATAGGTCAACTGGTCTGAAAACTCTTAAAAGAGGTGTCAACCAGAATGTGGTAACTGCACAGAAAAGTAGAGCGCACCATAAAATAAAGATTAAATCCTAGACAAAGTCACAAAAAAAGTTCATATTTACATTACAGGCATTTTTTTATTCTCATGCCTTAGACTGTAAAAATAATTACAAGGCCATAAACAGCAATTATAGCTTGATGCAAGCTCATGTTAAAAACAAAAAGAAAACCCAACACCCCTCCCCCCACAACAATATCATAGTATTGCACTTTAAGAAGCAGGAAAATCTTTCAGAAAACTTCCGAGTAGGAATATCCTCAAAATGCAAGACATTCAGTATTTTTACACTCATAATTCAAAGCATTTAGCTCTCTTTACCTATTTAACCTTAAATTTTTCAAAGTTTTTCATCTAGGAGATGTCTGTCAAAGGTTTTGACATATTCACATTCAGCAGGTAGAAAGTTAAAGTTGGTTGCCCCCGTTACAGAAAATGATGCTTAATGAAAAAAACAAAAACAGAATTTGTGAGGAAAAAAATGTCTTCTACACAGATAGACAAAAAAGCGTTGCATTACAAGATTCAGAATCTGCACTTACTCTTTACCCCTTTCTTCCCCTTTCGTTCCTTCTTGTACTGTTCCTTCAGTTTACTTATTAGTCCCTGGTCTACATCCCAAACCTCAGCAGTTGGGGACAGGTCATCTTTGTCTACATGCAGCATATTATTAAAAGAAAAAATATCAGCAATTGGCAATGCAAGCTGTTGGCGATTTACTGTCATAACTGTATAAAAGCATTAATAAAAGTTCTTAAATCTTTACTTTAAAGGTGCAGTCTCAGTTTTAAGTTCACAAAATACTAAGTCTCATTCCATACAGTTTTCCAAGGCACTGTATAATATCAGTTACATATTTGAAAATTGTATGTTAATTTGTTACTAAGGAGCAAACAAATTAAGCTTCATAAGTAACTGTTTATGTTAGATACTTCAAAATACACAAAAATTCATTGGTGTTCAGAAACGATTACTGCATCTTTAGAAAGACAATGTTAAGAAATTATTCAGCCAGTGTTGAATAAGCAAATAAAAGTATTCATGCTATATCTCTCATGAAAATGCAAGCTGAGTAAGTCAGTGCCAGTTTATTCATGAAGACCATCATGCATCCTCTCACACTCATTCTACATGCACAAGAAAGAAACCTAGTCCTACATATAACCAGAGGAACAAGTCTATAAATACAGCTTTTTACATAAAGATGAAGAAAAGTAATTCACAGAGGTGAATACATTGACATCCCACAGCATTCCAGCAATTAAATTATCATTAGCAGAAATACGACATTTCACAGTAGTTTCAAGACAACATGTCTTTTTCTGTTTGACAAATATTGCAGAGTTAATTATTCTCCAGGAAAAGTCAAGTCTCCACTTTTCCAAACTATCTATGTCAAGCATTTCTGGAAACACAGAATTAATAAAAGGATAAACTTGTTTCTAAGACAAGGTAAATATAACATTTGCAGAAGCACTTTTGCTAGCAGCCAATCAGGCAGCAAGCAAACTTGGTTTGTGTGCCAGTTAAGTTTATGCTCACAAATTCTTTAGGCATAAAATAATAAACCTAAGTTGCTCAGTTCCCAGCTTCCAGTCATATGTACAATATCAGTGTTTCCATAAAACAGCGATTTTTGAAGTTATAACCATTACAGTCATAAAAGTCCACAACAGAGGCCATACACAACAGAAACACAGAAACATGCATTTAGGATGCAAACCAGTATGAGTTATTCCAAATACATGTTTCATGACAAAACATGACAACAAATGAGAAGATATCTTGGGATGCTGATAACAAAGAGAAAAACATTGATCAAAACAGTAGAATATAGAAATGACAGGGGTGGCGAAGGCATGAAATGGACAGCATAATGGCAAAGTCCCCCAAGCTGTCCGCAAAGAACTGTGGAGAGGGGAAAGGAACAATTACATCCTACATCAAACTGCAGCTACAACTACCAACTGCAAACACAAAGACCTCAATCTTTATGATCACAGGGCCAAAACATCAACAGAGAGGAATAGTGATTATTCAGGAAATACAAGAGGCACAGAAAGATAAGTCAGAGGATATGGCCAACCAAAAGAGGAAGGAAATAAAGAAAAACAACAAAAAACCCCTAAACCCCAATGAAAGGAAAGTCAGTTAAGAGTAAAACTAAAAAAAAAAAAATATATCCAAAGCACCAATAATAAAAGGAAAATAATCAGCTAGGTTGCAGCATTGCGGAGAAGGATTTAGGAATTAAACTGAATCAGAAGCTGACCATACGTAACAGCAATGTAATGTTGTTAAAAAACAACAACAACAAAAACCCCAAAACCAAAAACCAAAACCACACATAACAAAATTGTCATCCTAGCATGTCTTAAAAGGTGTGGTGTGTTAAACCAGGAGTAGTCCACACAATTCAGCGATGATGATGACAAAATTGAAACAACATGTCCACTGTGTGTTCTACTCAAGAAGTTTAGAAAACATCTGTAGACTGCAAAACAAACAGGGCATTAAATACCAAAATAAGGAAGCTGGAGGAACTGGGCTCATTCAGTCAACAGGAAAACATAATCCTGCAAACATAAATAACAGAAAACTAGATAAAACGCTGACTCCGATTAACCAGAGGGGCTGTGAAATGAATTTCAATAAAGATTTTTAGGAAAACCCAGCTGTGTTTCTCGCAGGTATGCCTAGATTCACCGAACGATTTCAGAACAGAGCCACGTAACTAGAAGACCTCCACCATTCCCCCCTAGTAGTGAACCTTCTCAAATTGCCTGCAGTGTTTATGATCCACACTAAACTGACATCAGGACAGTGCAGAGGGATCCAGGATGTTGACTATCCAATACCACTTAGTGGAGAATGGATTTATTTCTCTATTTATTTATAGTTAAAACATATCCCAAGACACTCTTGAGGTCCAGTCACACCCTGCCACCCAGAATTCTGGGCAGAGTCACTCGTTCTCCGACTCCTGGTCCATCTGTAAATGGAACATTTGTGTTTCGTGGAGAGGAGAAATTGAGTGATGAACACGTAGTTAGTCATCAAAATCATAAGCAGAATAAAAAGACTATGTAATACGTAACATCTGTAGTACGTAACATTATATATAACAACATGTATTTATTCCTGTTTGCTTAAGCGAACAGCAGTTCTATATGCATCCCTTTCTTGTTGATACTGGATCACCGTAAGGTATTTATGATTTTTTTTGATGTGCTGCATACTCTAACGCTTTATTTAACACTGAATTTGCTAATCTTTCACGATTTTGAAGATAAGCTGTTCCTAAGTAAAACATGTTGCGTGATAGGACACTAAGTCATAACGTTTGAAAATAATTTAAGACTCAAAGTGTACTAAATGAGGCACTTACAAAAAAGTATGTGTTCATAAAAAGCCATATTATAGGAAGGAAAGAAAAGCAACTTCCATACTTGGTGGCTGGTTTGCAGAAGTGTCCAATAGCAAAAATGTATCCATCAAATTTGGCAAAGAAATATTTTAGCATATCTGAAGTTAGACCTACAAATAATACTTTCATGATTAAGTATTGAAAGTAATAATAAAGCAAGACTACGTCATAGGTTTAGAGCCTAAACATCAGAACGCTGGTTTCCAGATACTAAATAAAAACTTTATAAGGAAATACACACGTAAACATTTACATTTTTTCAGAGAGCCTAAATCTTTGCAAGAGTAAGAAGTGACAGAAGGATGCCAATGACAGAAAATCTAAAACAGGAAGAAAAAAAGCTGAGAAGAAAACAGAACAGAGCAACTATTTACATTATGAAGAAAAATATTAACTTTCACTGAAATACTAAAGCCAATGGTTGATGCAATTGTTTAGAAAGTAATGGCAAGTATTCATTTAAATGAAGTCAACCCTCAAAAATAAATAAATAAATGGCTGGACCTGGAGATTTCAATAACAGTTTCACAGAGTTCAAAATAATGTAACAAGCTAAAATAAATTGGTTTAGGCAATGTATTATTTTACTTTAGAAGGCATTTAAGGGGGACAATATTTGAAATGTTATTCTTGATAGGTAATAAAGAAGCATTGTCTTTAAGTATCTCAAATTTACACACTAATTGTTAAAAAAGTGACACTTAACCCCAAGACCTGATAGACTGTACCCTTAAACATCCATTTAAGGAAAGAATAGCTGTACTAGAATTGGTGACATACTATGAAAAAAGCATTGCTACTACAGTTTAAGTATGGCTTCTGACTCATTTAAATAGTAAGTTAGTACAAAATATACAACTTAAGGATATTGTCTTCATTTGGCAAAACACATACATTTTAAGACAAAAGTAGTTTTATCCTTATTTCCTCCTCCCCACTTCCTTGCCTCAGATGCAAGTGCTTTAGTAACAATGGAATCACTGCAGTTAAACCAGTTGTCACAAAAAAGCTGTCACAAGCGCATACAAACTCGCTTTTGCTATGGGTTCACTTAAACTGCCATAAAAGACATTCAAACTGCTCTCTGAAGGTCAATTTGATTTTTAAAAAAGATTTTTAAATTTTATTTTATTTTTTAAGTTTGAGACAGAAACTGAACTTCTCAAAATCAAGTTTGAAAAAAATTAACTTGCAAAATCAGCATTGCAAATAAATCAGAATCCCCCTGTTCTGGGTAACTACCTGAGAAGACAACAGAGATGTAACATGCTGGAAAGCAATCTTAGAAAGCACTGACTTGGTATTTCAGTGGACAAGCTAGTTCAGTAAGTTTCAGCCATCTGCTCTGAAAAAAATGGATAAAACTTCGACTGAATGAATTATAGTATCAAGCTATCTTTCCTTCTATATGCAATAGTGGTAAGACTGATGCCAGAACCAGAACTTTCTGCATCACTATACACTCAAAGGGATGTTGTAAACTGAAAGTCAAAACCTTGGCTTCAGGGCCTGAGTCAGCTTATACCAACAAATTTGCCTGTTTGGCTAAATAAAAATATGATCAAGAAACTAATCAAATAACATCGCCTTCAAAGGGCAACACCACCAAGCAACTAAAATGCTTCTAAAAATAAATAGGTATTATCAAAACTAAAGGCAACTGTTTGTCCGGCTACATCTTCCAACTAGGAATAAGATTGAGTTTTAAAAATAAAGGTGACTAACTCTTTGATATTAATTTCCAGGCAGAAATGTTTTCTAATGCTTGGTACCTGAAAAATCAAGACTGGATGATTTTCCTGCAAGATGTGTCAGTACTCTGATTTCTGTAGATCTTTATACTCTCTTTGCTGAGATGTTTATTTAAGTATGACAAATTCATTGTCTCAATGACATAAAATGGCCAAAGATGATGATCTAGTGGCACTTTTCCACCTTACAATGAAAGGCTTGCAGTATGCAACCACAAAATTGCTTGTACCACTGTTTAGAAAGTAAGGTGGTCAATTTCCCATTTCAAGGCAGGTGTGAATTACTTGGTTCACTATTATTTTTCCTACCCAAATTCTCTCCCTCTTTCAGTTTCTTCTTTTGAAACACTTAGGCTCCAGGAGTTTCTGACTTAGTGTATTTTGTTTCACATCAAATTAGTAACCTACTTAAATTTATTATCTAGTCTAAAATTAAAATAAATAAAAAGTTGAGCCAGTAGAAAATTACTCTTTGGATTCTACTAATGCAAGCCACATTAGCAATTAACATCCAAAAATCTCATCCAGAAAAACTAAATGCACTAATTGCCCATTTTTACAACTACACCAAAGAACTTCATTTAACTTGAGCACAAAAAGTTTAACATTCCTGATCAGAGCCAAATAGGAACAACAACAAAAAAAAAAGTAGATTTGAAAGTAAATTTAATTCAGGTATAAAACCGTTCAGTCTCCCAGCCTTTCTTATTCAAGAAACATAATATTCTCCTCTCAATTTTGGAATCAAAACCAAAACCTGAAACAAGTGTAACTATAATTGTATTCGTGGCAACTGCAACAGCATATAGGTATGCACATTGCAGCATCCAATACACGATTATCTAAGCAGCAGCATTTGATCATCACAATCATCCACACATCCACACCATCTTAGCAGGTATTACAACTCTTATGTACTATCATGAACAAGTATTCCTTTATTTCTAAATGCTTTTGTTAGCATCTTACCCCACTCTGTTCCATCTCCTGAACTTCGAGCTTCTCCAGCTCCCTCACCATCTTCAGCTGTCACTAAAAAATCAAATTCTTTCAAAGCTTCTTCGGTATCGGGGTCATCTGTAAGGTCAGCAGCTAAACCTTCATTACCAATCTGCAACCACATAAACATTTTTCTGTGTTTGAATCATGAGCAGATTTTCTACTCAAATATTTAGGTTAGAAGTGATATAGATTACTCTGAGTACTGGGTTGCAGGGGTAAACATTTTTCAACAAGAAATGCAGAAAAAGACACTTAGATCTAGAGCTGCTTAAAAGAGACAGCAGTGCAGTCATTAGGAAATGAAAATACTGACACTAAATTTAGCAACAAAAACAATCCCAAATATCCCAGCCTTAATTTTTTATTTAAAACATATCAATGGAAACGTTGTTAATTTTCTTGCAATATCAATAGCTCTGCAGAGAAGCTTTACAAACAAACTGTGTTTCCCACTGGCCAAGAAGCCTTTTTTCCTTCTTGCATTCCAGTTCTATTTCAGTGTTAAGCACAAGCTTAGAAAATATAGTGTTTTCAGAAAAGTGTCTTTTTACTAGTTCTACCACATCTTCACCTTAAACAAAACAGCCTCCCTACCAAGGCATCAGTGAGAAGTTTTCTTTAATTCTGCAGGTGAAGAAAACTTGCACATGGGGTTATGTTTCCATGACTTGCACAATATTCTTACACTTTTGCAAAAAGAGGCAATTTTTACAAAGATAACTATAAATGATCCTTCCACTTTCTATAAAAATCAAGCTTTGTCAAGAGTCAAAAAATGAGTGTCATGTCTTCATATCTGCTTGGAGATTTACTTATTAGATAATCTTTTAATCAGACTATCTACTGCCTTCGACTGATTGCTTGATTAATCTATTTACCAGAAGTACAAAGGTATGGTGGAAAACTCTTCCTGACAAATCAAGTTGGGAGATTAAGACTTGTGTCAAGCCGAGCTAACACTGCTAGCTATTTAACAAAATTAAACACAGCCAGAAGGGTCATCATGCTACAGAATACTCCACTGAGCAAAAAGTAATAAAACTGTCGGTACAACATTCATAAATCAAGCTCTTTATGGAAATCCCATCGACAGGAAGACTCTTCCAGTACAGGAGAAAAAGAACTAAAAGAGACAGGTAATACAGTCTATCCTACCTAGAAAGCTGTTCACAGAGTAGAAAACTAAAGAGGAAAATAAAAAAGAACAAAACTTAATTGAACTTTAAACACAAGGTTACTGGAGACAAGACTCTGCTAAGCTCTTAACATATTTAGTAAAAAGCTGCATAAAACAAGAATTAAACACGTATTTGACATGGAATCAATTTTTTTTTCCATTACATAATTTAGATTCTTCTAAGAAAATGTCCCTACCTTCTCCAAAATTCAGAAAGGATGCACATTGCACTGTGCTAAATTTGACACAAAGGGACGCGAAGTATGCAAAGAAGCAGAGATAGCCAAATTAGTTCTCTTTCAGCAATTAATTGACATTTGCAAAGAAGGTGGTTGGTTGTTTTGAATTTTTCAAGGCAATGTATTAATTAAACCACCACATTTACCAATAATGCATCTGCTTACAATCCACTCAGATAATGAAGGTACAGCAACGAACATTTAACATGACATATTTATAAGCACCTGGAAAAAAATATTTCCTTTTTAAAGGGTATTTCAGATCTATACACAAAAAAAAAAAATTAAAAAATGTTTTACTTTGTGTTTCTTATTTATCCGGTGCTTTTCTTTTCCTTCTGCAATATCTTCTATCATGTCACTCTCTTCCTCTTCATCACTATCATCTGCATTTTCTAAGAAGTTAAATGTTTCAAGAACATCACCAGAATTCCTACATAAACAAAAACATTAACAGAGAATCCATTTTACTTGCTGAAGAGATTTCGGAAGATTTATCAAATTAAAATGCAATCGCTACCTTAAAAGCTTTAGAACTAGCAAATCAACAAGAAACAGTTATATGAAGAAGTTTCTACAGATGCCTAATTCCTTACTATGAAAGCACCACTCAACACAATCCTTCCTTAAAATAACAGCCCCAAAGTGGTTATATGACATAAATTCAATACACTATATATTTTCCTGTATATATACGTACAATACGTACATTATGTTCCTATGTATAATCAATTTCAGTCAAGTTCATAATCATTTGTAGTCAGCTATACTCACAGGTGTTCAGAGACTCTAGATCTGAAAGTCCAATGTGAACTGACCAGTATGTATCAATGACTAAGCAAAACACTTAAACTTTATGCCTTTCTTATCTCTTCACTTACCTTTTGATTTCCTGTCCCTTTTGTTTTGATGAAGGAGATTCACCCCCATTGAGGATCTGTTCTAAGTTCTTTGTCTCTACTGAACCATTTGGTTCTGAATTGGAGAGCCCAAGCAAAGACCTTACCCGCTGAGAGCGTACATCCAATATTGTATCTGTATAGCCTACTTCCTGAAGATACCTAGATGCAGTAAGAGAAGAAAGAGGAAAGTATATTTGAAGGAAGAGGAAAGAAATTAGTTTTGACTGTTAAAAATGAACGCCACTATTGTATCATTTACAGAAAAGTAAGCTTTATTGCCATCCATCCCATATGGAAACCTTTACTCTCTACCGCTTAAAGCTCAAAACTATAAAGTCCTGAAAAACAAACCACTATTTGCCTACCTCAGTTATTCTGTTTCATAGAGTAAGGCACATATACAGCTCCTCATACTTCAGGGAAAAGTCTGAATACACCAATATTCAACAATGTTACTTACTGTCTCAGTAACTGTCTGCCTTGCTTCCAGGTCAATTGGCTATTTTGAGGTACTGCGGGAACCTCCGTATCTTTGGTTTCTTCTGAAAGATATAGTGTCATAGTTGGGTGGGGTTTTTTGTTTGTTTGTTTTTAAGACCAATTTGCTTTTTCAAGACACCAATGAAACGAAAAGCGAAGCTTAAAAAAGCTTTAAATTAGATGCAGTCTTACGCAGTGTCTTTAATTAAAAAATAATTTTTCTAGTTCTTTGCTGAAGCATCAAGCCAACAATTTAACAGAATACAATCAGTTAAAAAATCCTGGCCTCTTACTTGCAGAAAAGGAACTAGAAAAATATTTAACTTGCACACAGAAGAAAACCTTGCCCTGATCAGCTGAAGTGTTACTGCTAAAAAAACAGGCTGCATCTCTTTCACAAAGCAGAGGTGCTTAGAAAGCAACACGGAAAATACAGTTAAAATAAGAGAAGCGGTGACATAGATCAGCATCTGGAGAAAACAAGGGTGTCAAGTTTAACACAAATTCCAACAGTTTACTATCAACAATTAAAGCCCAATCCACTGCACTTTTACTATGGCAGAGACTATAAAACATAGTACAACATAATAGCATCTAACTTATACTGCTTTTAAACTCATATGAAAAATCCCATCAAGAAAGAAGCATGAATCATGATCTCCAGTTTCAACCAGGTATAAAAGTCCACAAAATGTGTCACTTCTAAAGCGGAAGAAAACACATAAAACTGAAAAAAAGGTGGTGGTGGAATAAAAATCTGTAGACCATAATTTTAAGGCACATTACGCAAATACAGGCCAAGAGTCTGACTTTCCAAAGACCTACATTTCAGGAGAAGCCACATGCAATTCTCCTCATAAAATACTCTGATGTCGTTTTGAAAAATGCTTTCCTCTATCTGCAATATTGTGAAGAGCAGAATTGTTATGATCAACTTTATATCCACACTGCAAAATCAGAGGCACTCCAGAATACCAATAAGCATAGCCCATTTTTAACTCTTCAGACTTTTTCCTTGATTTAAGATAGAAACAAAAGCTCAACAACATTTTTGCAGCCCAATGCAGTACAATTTTTTTTTCCCCTCATTCTTCAAAAAATAGCATCCTATAAAAGCACCAAAACTCAACAGTATTTCTTCTGTTTATTCTGCACTTAACACTTTTCTTCCAGATGGATGACACAATGACAAAAAATATTAAATCTTCAAGAAGGGATACTATAAGAAATAATGAGAAGCATCAGCTAAATAAGAAATTGTGTAACCTTCTTTAAAGCTTTCATCAACATCCACAGATCTTTCAGAAAAGCACAGGTGAATTAATTTTGATTTTCAGCTTAAACAATGTTTACTCAATACCAAACCTTTCCTAGACATCTTCTCTGGAACACACCTAAGAGGGTTGAGGGGAAGATTGAAAGCTGCAATAAATTGAACGGAGCAAATCTAGAACAGTGTATAAAAAAAATATACTAGAACTAGCTTTTGTAAAAAAAGTTACCTGATTCAAAAGTTGGCATTTTCAAGTCACCTTGGTTCAATTCTGTGCCATATTTTAATTTATGATATTTTGCCCTGAAAAAGTACACAAATGTTCAACAAGGTAGCATACAGTGCTTTTATCAACTCAAAACATTCTACTATTCCCATTTAAAACCACCATACTAACAGAATACAATTTATCCAAATAAAACGGTTGAGATAATTATTGCATCATACAATTACCTCTAGGTTTTCAAGAACACAGTTTTGAGATAACCTTTTTACAATTATTCACAATTACCAAATAACTTACAGATGAGAGTTTAGTATGTTCTAGAAGAATGTGGGTTTTTTCATGTGTGTCAGCTCCTACGAGAACTTTTCAAAAATCAGTAGCAGTGATTATTTTTTTCAGTTGTAGCCCTGTCAGCTAGCCAATGGCACTACAATGAAGGAACCTCCGATTTGGGATTCCTGCCTATTTGCCACCTTCAATTTCCACTTCAATTTCTCTCCTGCTCTGTCTTTGCTTATGGTAGAAATCTTTCCCTCTGAAGAGCAATGTTAAGAGTGCTGGTTTCCCTTATCACATGTGTTCTCTTATTGATTTTGTCTTCATTGACTGGAGGCTTAGCTTCCAATTCTTGCTCAGTCCACCTACATAGACATGCCTCACTCCTTCCCATCTCCTGATCTCTGATCCCCGCACCTCTCCTCCTCCATCCCTTTTTTAGATCCATCTTGGTGACAGTATTTCCATGCAGGTATGCATGAGCCTTCCAAATCTCATTCTCTACTCCAGTTGCCTATTCAAAATGTCTTCAGCTCCCTTTACCTCCAGGAATATCACATGAAGTACCTACACCTATATCCTGGAATTCTCTAACTCCATCCTAGACTTTTCACAATTTTACTTTTGCCTTATAGGTCCTTTTCAAAAATATTCATCGTCTCAAGGAAAAGAACTGTAGATGTTCTGCAGTAGAGCCAAGGTGAAAGATCTCTGTAAAAATGCTAGCAGCCACATTTTAAAGAAGCCTCTATAAAATACAGCTGTCTTCATAAGTCTAACTTAAACATTTGACCAATGCTCTAAGAATAACTGAATTGTATCTAGCTCCCACCAATTTTAAATACTAATCTCAAATATGAAACTTTAGAAAAGCCACATAATGGAACACATGCTGGACAACATCAAGGATTTCCAACAACTCTTCTCAAATAGCTGAGCCACTGCTGCAAGCTTCTCCAAAGTTCTCTCTCCAAATGAGGCTTGATATATTTGACGGTATAGAAGATTTTCTTGTAAATTGCATAAGTTTCTGCTAAAATTGCAATTAGGAACAGACTCATTAACAAACTGTCAGTAGATGGCACTACTGACCCTTTATAGTAAGATAAAATCCTGTACTTCATAGCAATTACATTGTAACTGAAAAACTGTAAGGCTCCTGAAGACTAGGCATTTGTGTGACCTGAATCTGACTGACTGCCAATTAAATAGAATCATAATTTTTTTAATTATTTGTGCATACATTCGTATTTGATCAATGTAGTAGTAAGACTGTCTAGCCTAGGTGTTCTCATCAAACAGAGACAAAGCCCCGCTGCACATTGCAACAAGGCAGCGTTCCACCAAGCTTTCCAGATAAAGTCTGCGTACTATGATTTACATGCCAAATATAGTACTGTACATTTGAGGGTAAAAAAAAACTAGCATAAAACCAACAACCAACTAAAATGAAAATAATTAAGAAATTGTGAAGTCAAAGCTGATTAAATATTTCTGCTCAATTCATAAGTGAAGCCAATAAAGCACTGCAGTTCAAAAGCCAACCTAAATTTGTTCAATTTGGAGCTGTGGCAAATTCTATTTAGGAACAGTTGTTCTATTTCAGAGCTACAATTTCAAAACATTAATTAAAATTCTGCTTTAATTGTTCATTACGGAAGGTAATGATGTATCTGATCTAAAATTATACCAATGACTAGCCACTACAAATAAGCCAAAATATTGCTGCACATAATAAGATCCATTACGTGTCTCACATCACATCTGATGCTCTACTTCAATTTTAGAGTAAGAAATTAATCTTATTAAATTCCAATAAACTATATATTTGCACGTGTATTCCTCTCTGTATTGTAACACAAACAAGGGTAATTATTACGTATCTTAAACATCACTAACAAGCTAGTGTTGTTGACAAGTCAGTGATGTTACTCTCCCACACCACAAAGTAGCTGAATTCTACAAGAGGCATCTTTTGAATCCTTTGAGCATTGACTTGCTATTCTTCTAAGGCTAGGTTTCCACGAGTGAAAAAATAAGAGGAGAAACAATGTCCTAAATTGATTTAGCTGCTTGCTGCTATTTAACTGTTAGATCCTACCACTCAGCGGTAATAATATAAGCCAGCTCTGGTCCAAATCCCATGAAGTCAATATACAGCCACAGATTTATGATCTCAGCAAGTCTTATTAATTTAAGAACAACACTATGCTAATGAAGCTTGGAGTAGAGTGGCTCACAGTACACAACAAAAGAAGTTTGGCTGGGTCTGCAAAGCACCATAAAGGAATATATACTAGCTACAAACAAAAAATCCCATATAAATAACTACTGAAGGTCTAATCTTATTACAAAAACCGATACAGAACTACCAATATTTAAGGACATTAAAATAATAAACAACATTTTACTTCTCTAAAACACTATCACACCTGTTGCACACACACTTAGAGATATAGAAATATCAAACTATTTTGTAACTACTACTGCATTTTATTTAGTCTTACACTGATGTCCTGTTTGGTAACTTTTTTTCTGAGAAACCATGACACTCATCATTGTCTGAATGAGTCTGTCTCTGACTCTCTATAATTCGATATTTCATTGCATGAAACATTTCATAGCATCAGGGAGTTAGCAACAAGAAGAGGAGAAAGGCAACGGGGGGAATCAGGTGCAACACTGAAAATTACTGTCAACAATTTTCAGACCTGAAATTCTCAGAACTTATCTTGGTTTGGGGCTGGTTTCTTTTCATTAGTTGTCATTCTTCACTCAGAGGAACAATAGCCAAAAAAATAACATCTATGATCCCGAACGCTTCATTCAGCAAAACAACCAAGAAACTAACATACATTCTTGGATGATTTATTGACAAGTCAGTACCTGCTTGCTCTCCTTACTCAATCCACCATACTTTCGCAATTAGATCCCCTTGAACTACTGGGCATTGGTAGCAAAAAACCAGAAAGCTTCCTCGTTGCCTCCCACACATTCACCAATCAACCCCAGAGTTTCAGTTCCTGTTTATAGCAATCTTCATGAGAATTCTGGCTGGGACTTAAGCAAGGATTTTCCTCTTGAAAAGTATGCAACATTGGCTTGTACCCACTAGCCGCAAGAACTAAAGCAAACTGTATGTTTCTGCTGTTCTGCTTCTGTTATACATATGTTTACAAGTTTCTTGCCAATCAGATTAATTTTGGAATTTCATGGGAAATCAAAGTATAAAGGCAGCTGCATTTCAAGAGAAAGCAGGAAGGCTGTTTCACCAATGCCATTCATCTTCAAATTCTGCATTCACTTATACGATGTCTTCACACTCCAGCTGTAATTAACTGTCTCTATTTAGCTCAGTAAGTAGGCAATCCTCACAGCCTTATGGTGTGCGTTTGCAGCACACACAGTTTATTATTGCCAAAACAACCAAAATGTCTTCCTTCAACTTCAGAAAGTTACTTATACCCAAGACACTTGGGTCTGCCATAACAGCACATCATGCGTTGGATGTGTTCAATGTTCTTTAAAGGAAGAGGACACACATCTCGACGCTTTGCGTGCTTTTCACCTGCCTGGCATCCAGAGTGACTTGCACATTACCTGCATGATGTAACAATGTAACTTTCAATCTTAGACTTGTTGGAAACCTTCAGTTACTTCCCATTTTGAGGACGCAGCTGCATGAAGAAATAGATCCTTTCTGCTTACTGCTTCACCAGAAAAATGCACAATATGACAATCTGACTTTCTGTATGAACACAGGCTGTTTTCTGAAGCACCATATAAAGGTGCTCATACTGGACACTTCACAGAGGTATGTAGCCACCCTTGCCAAAATGTTACTTTGTAATATGAAACCAACTAATCATAATTATTTCTGTACTAGTCAATTACTCAAAGTACTAATTCATAATGTAAAATGTATTTAGACATACTTACCCTTGGACAACTAACTTAAAAGTGTCCAGGTGAAGCCTCATTACTCTTTGCTACAAAATTTTAAGTTTACTCTGGCAGGAATGTTCCCACCAAAATAAACAAATAAAGGCTACCTATTTTGTTGCCTGATCCTCAAGATGTTTACACTGATGGATTCAGCTACTTTTTAAGAGCAAGATAAAATTAAATATAAGAATTGAGTTCACTACTGAAAGTATAGGCACATGACAAGATTACTTTGCTAGTGCTTTTGCAAAATTAACTAATTTTGGTCAAACGAAATAACCAGGCAACAGAAAAGCATGTAGGTCTGAAGGACATTAGCCTGCTTGGACTGAATAGAATTTTAATTTTGTTAAAGCATTAAATTAATGCTACAGAAAATGCACCTACTGAGATTAGAAATGCGCTTATTGAGACTAGCATCTACCACACGAAGAAAACAATACTTCAAAATGTAATGCTAACTTTTAAAAGATTCCATTCTGCCACAAAATATATTTTTCATCATGCAACACATACAGAACAGTTGTAGGGAATCAAAAGAACACCATTTTTCATCCTTTGAAGTTTAATACCACTGAAGAGCATATAAAGATACAGTAATAAGGTATAAATGTTTTTGGAATGTTTATTCTTAGTTAGTATATCAGTACTTTTAACTCAGAAAAGTGAAACTGTCCAATTTGAACTTTCTGCATTTAAAGCATGAGTTCAAACAATTTTAAAATTATGCAACTTTCTATTACAACAGTAAAGTTTATCAGAAAACACAGTGGAAAGATGACCACCCATAAAGACAGTTTACATAAAGTAACCTAGAATCATTAGTTTATATAACATGATGGAACTCCTTTCAGCCTGTAAAGTATTCCAGGTCAGATAAAAGCTGAACAATTTGTATACCTACCTTTCTTGTTTTAATGCATATTCTAACATTTTTATTCTTCTCACTAAATCTTTCTTCAAATTTTCTTGACCCTTTCTTTCCCCTTGTAAAAACGCTATCCGAGCCTGAAAACACACACAAAAAAAAAAAGAAAATGGATTTTATTCCATTTTGTTCCGAAAACAAAACAATGAAGTGTGGCTTGGGGGGGGGGGGGGGGAAGAAAAAAAAAAAAGAAACTGTTTTGCTTTAATCACTTCAGTCAGTTATTAACAACAAAAATATTTCTGCCCTAGAGACTTGAGTATTATTTTCTATTCATAAATGTTGGATTTTGCCTTGAAATAAAGGTAGAAAGTTAGTATAGTAAAAGAAGGCACAAACAGCAATTATATTAAATTTTAATATATGCACAGTTTTGTACTTACAGCATTGTTAGCATCAATTCTATTACACATTTTCTTCCAAATACAAAGCCATATTAAAATAGGTAAACAACAAAATCTTAAGCAATTTAGTTTTTAATGCCAATATATTGAACAGATTAAGAAATGGCTACATGAATTCAAATACAGAATTTACAAATCCGTTACACAGGAAACTACTATATTTTATGGATTCACATTTTACTTACTACTGAAGACTGCTGAAGTTTAGAATATCAAGGGAGAATTGGTTTTAGTGTGCCGTTCTATATGGAGAAAAATAATGCAATTTTTTTAAAAAAATCATCAATCATATTATCCACCTAACTTACACAGAAGCAATGAAGCTTCCCACTTGCCTGCTAACCTAGTAGACAACAATAAATTCAGTAGAACATACAAGTTATCTCAACTAGTGCAAAAAGTCTAGTGGAAAACTCTAAAATAGTTGAAAAATAGAAGTAGTAAGTTTGTGGAGAAAAAAAAGTAGCCTCTTCACTACAAAGTGAAAGGGCTTAAATTTTGTCTTTTGCAAGCCAGAATCCTAGGGAAAACAGGGGAATTTGCAGGTGTGAACACAAAATTTAAACAGTTAACAATATTGCTGGATTGGCCACCATTACAGGAAACCACAAACTCACTTATCCTCAATATGACTTTAAACTGACTAAAGTCATTGGGTAGCTAATTCAAGGCAAGATTTAATATAAAATTTTCTCAGAGGAGGGATTAAAAAAAAATAGAATAAGGAGAGTGAAGAAGAGACCACATTGCTCTACAGAGCTTAAGATCAACTACACAATTTCATTACTAAAGGAGGCTCAATAAGAAAAAAAAAAAGCAGCTGTAATTGCCAGCTTGCCAGCTAATCTATCCTTTAAGATTTTTTAAAGGGAGCAGTTGTACATTTTCATTACTCTCCGTGGTTAGAGCCTGAAAGAGGAGGATAGCATTCTTGCATTGCTCTTTTCTCAAGACTAAGTGCTATCAACACATAAAACTTCACATATCAGCCCTGATTTTAGTCCCTCTGGCCTTGTGCTTAATGGTAAACCAAATTAAAATGTGTTATTTTACCTTGTATTATCTAACTAATGATTTAATCAAAAAAAAAATCCTAGTGAGAACAAGGCAGTTATGAGTATTTCAGTCATGAAAGCACTCTCAACTAACCACCGCCACTTGGTGAGAGTAACCAAACATGCACCAAACACTGCATGGTAACACAAAAGGAAAAGAAAAAATACAGACTTTGTAGTAAATGCACAGGTATTTCAAGATAAAAGTGTAGAGACCAAGATCTAGAATCAGCTATTTTAAACAGTAGGCTCCCAATGGAAGGTGATGGAGGGACTTGAGCTTGAAGGTGATGGAGGGACTTGAGCAAACCAAACAACTATACTAAACTGCAATTATTTCACTTAGATTCTAAATTGTACTATAAAACTGACTCTAATCCAACAGAAAGCCTTCTGGAGAAACCCACAATTATACATAATTTGCACTCCTGTAGTATCTAAGGCAGCAAATGACCAAATAATTTCACAAGCCCAACTTGTTATCCTACCTGACTGGTCAAGGGTAAGACAACAAGAAGTAAACAGTGTCCTTACACATAAATACAGAAGTACACATAAAAGTTATAAAAGGAGGGTTTTTTTAAAAAAAGTAATATGTTACATGCACATATGCACAATACCATGCTTCAAACATTTGGAAGTTACTGCATGCATACAGACTGTTTTTATAAAAATAAACCCAGAACTAAATACTTTGATAATTGCCATCTAAGGAAGGTTAAGAAAGCTCTTGCTCTTTGACTTGAATGCAGTTCTCAACTCCTTCCAAAACTCAGGAATTCTGTAAGTGATGGTCTTCTCCCCTTCTATTAGTCTTCTTTGATTGGCCAGCACCCTTTTATAACTATTTGACAAATCTTAGTTGTCAACTGCAACTGTTGGGCCTTATTTCATCCTCAGTTCGCTGATAATGGAGAAGAAAAATTATATAGCTGCGATCATACATAGAGGGAGGCATCTGCCTCCTAAACGCTCACAGTCAAACTATTTTGTCCTGGAAATACTTCTGGAGTACTTGGTCAAACAAAAGTGAAGTCTAGGTATTGCCTAGATCTCATACTTCTCAACCTGGCAGGTTAATGAGTTAAGTGATCTTAAAAATCAATATATTAGAAAAATGAATGTTCTAAAGATAAACAAACCCCCCAAATCCACCCTACAAAAAAAGCCCTCAAAAAATCTTTTATATACAACAGTATTTATAACAATCTTCACAGAGTCCAAAAGGTTGAATAGAAAGGTTGTCACACTACAACACACTTTTTAGTTGTTTTTTTGACATTTTTGTCAATATTAGCAGACTGCTTTTAGCATCACTTTCTGTAATTGCTTGTATACACATTTGACTGATTTTAGGGAATTTTTTTCTTTTTTTTCTCCATTGTAACCATCGTCAAACAGCTAAAGCGTAACAGAAGTTAGCTAAGCAGAAGTTAAAAGTTGATCCTTAGAAATATGGAAAATCAATACAGAGTTTAGGAACACTCACATCATCAAGACCCTCAATATAAAACAAAGAATAAGATCACTGCAGAGTTGCTGTACAAATTACATTAATCAATTTGCTTCCTTAAGTCTTGAACTGAGAAATGAGGGGTGTCCAAACTATCACTTGACATATTGCATGACTGTGAGCCCTAAGAATTAACACACAATTTCCCAACACTGACTTTTTTTGAATAGCAGTAAATTTCAGGTTCGATAAAAACAGATAAAGTAAACAGATCACTCTCGCTCAGGGTTGTTGTACTAACTTAGGTTCCATACACAAATAACAAATGCTTAAGAAATGCTCTCTACATAATCCAACTTGCTCAATTCTTAGATAATCCTTTCCTTTAAAAGAATTCTCAGGAGAGCTAGATTCGATACAATTTATAACTTTACTGATTAAAGATTGACTGGCACTAAAATTGGGAAATAAAAGGGCACGGAACAATTCAGTACTCACCTTCCCTCCCTCCCTCCCAGTTACAACAGAATTCTTTCCATTGTCTTAAGTCCCTGGACTGATAGTAAGAGGAGCAATCCTCCTCCTCCTTGTATTTCTGTTCCCTCTACTGTGCTGACTTAGCTGCTTCTGCTACCACACATTAAGCCTACAGAGGAAATCATTCTATTTATTTTTTACTCAGTTCTGAATTACATCAGTTTCCTGATCCTACTCTGTATAGCCATGGGAGTACTTAGGCTGGCACAAGGGATGCAAACAGGATACTGAAGTAACAGCTCCTTTCAGTGACAACATGGTCTTAGATCAGCCTAAACTGACCATGATATCAGAACATGCATGTCCAGGGCACAAGAGTTGAAAAAACAAGAGTACAGAGACTAAGTCAAACACAAGACAATCTTAACCCTTTTGAATCACAAATTCAATCAAAAGGTATTTTTAGAAGTGTATTAGCAAGACCATTTCTTAAGGGGGAGAAAACATGTTATTTTACAGACTATGTAAACATGTACAAACAGAACACCTACAAAACATTAGTTCTGTAAACTAAAATATAGCCTCCCATGGCTTTCAAAAAAATCTAGCTGAATTTAGTTGTGTACAGATTCTGTTAGAATATTTTTTTCCCCAGATAGGGCTATGCTTCAGATACTGCAAACGAGCTCAACCAAGAGCCTCTTTTTCTGGGCAGATTCCTCCTCTTCTACCAGACTGTCCATTTTCATATTTACGGTATTTTGATGGATCTCTGAGGTCCAGTCTTTCTACAAAATTCAGTGATACATGATAACTCTGGGTTGCCTCTACACCTTGGCCCTCAGCTGTAAATAAGAGCACGACCACATGAACTTGCCCAATTTTATTATTAAAGTGAATTCAGGGAGCTCTGAGAAGCAGTTAGTGACACGTACTTTGTATTTGTGCAAGGATGCATGAAATAAAGCCTGAAACTAGGCAAGATAGAATACAAGGATAAAAAAACCTACTGAACAGCTACTTGAATAGTATGGATCCCATGAATAAGAATTGTCTGAGGTTAAATAACTACAGAATGCACATACAGAAGGGGACAAATAAAAATTCTAACATTCAATAGCCTAGACTAACTTAATATTGTTTTAATGATGTGTTGCATTTCAGACATACATGCATTACATTTTGCAGCTGGAAGGGTTTTTATCTTTTATATAAAAAGTCTGACCATGTGCAAACCAGGCAATTGTCTTTCACCCAACTCCAAGATATCAAATTAGAAACTGAAGTTTTCCTTGAATGGTAGGAATAAGTAAATATCTCTAACGCTCCACATCCCTAGCATGCAATTACACTGCTTCATCAAAGTGTAACAGGAGATTTGAAGTAATTTACTAGAGAACTTCCACATAATTCAAAATTACTAAAAATTTCACATAGAAGTTGATAAATCAAAGTTTAAAGAAAAAATGTTTCTGGGAGGAAAACGAGGTTATTCCACACACCACACCCCCCCATTTTAAAGAAGCTTGAAAGGTCTAAAACTTAAGAGTTATTGCTTTACATTTCATACATATCCATAACAGCAGCATTCATATTAAAACTGCATTTTATTGCCTCAACTGCACAGAAAAGCCTGACTTGAAGACAATCTTTATGTTGACCAAACATATTTCTCTTAGCCATTGAGG